TATGTTTTAAGCATATGCACACTCACACATATATATATATATATATATATATATATAACACTGATGCTTTAAGCTTATGCATGAAAAACATATTTGACTTTGAAAAAGTGATCATAATAGTATTTTTGATGTGATATTAAATATTTGAGTGCTATCTATATAAATATAAAAGTTTTAAGTCTGAGATAAGGTGAATACTTAAGAATTGCGGGCTATAATGCTATGTATGTATGTAAATGCCCCCAAAAAAATAACTTTTCCCCACAACAATTTTATAGCAACCTTTTCAAAAAATTGCAGTTACCCTCACCAAAAAAGAACTCCATTATTTCACCTACTGTGCCAAAAAATTAAAAGAAAAAAAATAAAATTTACAAAAGCATTTAAACAATAATTTATATTCATGAAATTGTCCTCACCTTTTAGAGTTTAAAGTTTATGGTTTAAAGTCTAGAAACTTGCCCTGCTCTCCATCTCAAGTTCTCTACCCTACACCGATCGCCATTAGATTGATCTTTCCTTCAGTAAAAAAATACAAAAAATAAATAAATATAAAAAAAAAAGTAACAGAAGAATTGGATAAAATTTGTATCCAAAGTTGCTAAAAGTTTCTACAATACACACGAAGAGCTACCTAAAACATCAGAAAATGATAAATAAACGAGAATCAAGTTAGCGATGGATACAAAGATTGATAGTTTCTAAACATGGATTTGTCAGTTGATATCGTTTCTGAAGAGGGAGATAATGAAAAACATGCAACAAATATCAACAATTACAATCTAGAAAAGGAGTTGAATCAACCTGAAAAGTAAAATTAGATGGAATTGGAAGGTATCAGTTTCACCTGTTCTTCCATCGGATGGAGGCAGACTTTCTCAACTCCCATGGAGGAACGCAGCCCTTTAATGGTGAAGGCAATAGCAGGGAGGAAGAAGACAACTGCCTCTGGCGCAATGAGATTGAAGATAGGCAGCTGAAAGAGCTCCTGAGCCGTGCCTTCTCCTCCTCGTAGGTGGAACTGGGATCATGACGGATTTTAGAAACTTTGATGGATTCTGGAAGGAGGCAATTGCACAAGGAACCTGCAATATAAGCGAAGTTAAATGCTTCATAATGGCAATTGCACGACGAACCAGCAATTATAAGTATTTTCATAACATAAAAAATAAGGCTCTAATATGAAATACAAGTAATTTCTACTACTCCAATGACGCATGTTGTGTTTTTCACATTGCAACAGAAGTTCTAAATATTACTTGGAGCAGATGGTGAAGCCTTAGGCATATAGTGTTTGGGTGTGATCTACAGTGACTAAGTTGGCCAGATTACTGTGATGATTTACTCGAGATGCATCAAAATATAGAGGTAATTTATCATCATCCAGAAGAATATCATATTATGTCAGACATAAGCATGGGCGGCCGACACAAATATTAAGTGCATAGCCTTTTCTTATGTTTTTAAGCACATGAGAGCTTATATATTATATATATTAACTTCTTGCTGTCTGTCACATCTTGTTGACATCTACATTTACAATATTTATCATTGTTGGAGGTTTGGGGTGAGTTTGCACAGTACGCTTTGTCTAAACCATATAAAGAGTTGAACATTTTAACAAAATCCTCATGCATAAATGTCTGGGTGTTAGCTCGTTCTATAAATAATATCATGGGAATGACTAAAATTTGAGAAACTCACTCTACATTATCAAACAATTTTGAGACAATTTTTCAAAGAAGCTGAGCTTTACAAAGTTTATAATTTACCTTTCTTAATAAAATTTTCAATTACATGAAACTAGAATGAGAAATAAGTGCGAAGAGTTCTGATTGTGTGGGAACATCTAGTGATAAAATTGACTGTCTTCAGCGAAGGAAGGTATAAAAATATTAGCTAAACAGCTTGTATGAATACAGTTAGGAAGTACATCGAGAGCAACATATCAAAAATATGTAAAATATTTACGCAACCTAGTATTTGACAAATTTGAACAAACCATCTAGAAATCAAACACAACAAGCATAATAATTTTAGTTTCCTTTCATTTTCATTATTAGTTAACTCTATTAGCTAGAGACACATTAGATGGTGCCTTCTAGACCAATCTATGCACAAGTTTGGGGGTGTAAAATCCAATATAATTGAAGCTAGAGAACAAACTTTTAGCAGATTGGATATGAGGGAAAATAGGATAATGGTTGGTCAAAATAACATCAAAATTACATTAAACAATGAAATAACAAGGAGTTCATAATATAGTTGAATCAACCACAATAAGAGGCAAAAAAGAGCTTTTGTTGTACATCTGATGGTAAAAATCATGGACAGCACTATATATCTAGTGAAGGGTCCACACAAACACCAGATACATAGTACACTAAATCACCAGATGAAATAATAGTGATATGTGATAAAGCTACAAATTTTAACTAAATATAACCATTTTGTTCTATAATGCCCTAAACAAATAAAGCATTATTTATACGCAGGATGACTACTTTACACACATGAAAAGCGCACTGATCCATTTGTAACCAAGCAATGTTGACAATGCTAGCTCAATAGAATTTATTTATAAGAGATCACTGAATTGTCAAGAAAAGTAGAACAGTCCATATACATTGGTTACAATGCTTTTGAGCAGCCAACAAAACATGATAAGTATCGAGATTAAATCAATATAAACCATGAGAGATATCATGCTCTTCAGGGATCAACTTTTGATACCAAACAAAGATTGACTTCCAATGCTCCACAAAAATTGACTTATAGTGCTCTACAAGAATCGACTGCCTACACTAGGCAAAGATTGATTATCAATACTCCACCCTGATCAACTGTTGACACTCCGTGAAGATCAACACGCAAAGGGTTTGAGACAACAACTTTTAATTACTAAACCCATTTAAACATACAAACCAAAAACCAGCAATTTTTCTAAAATGAAATGTGAGGGCATTTAGGAACAAGCTCATCAACACAACATTGGCAATCCTTCGATCAATATTGAAGTGCTTTTAAGAGCGGTCAACTACACATAATTTTAGGGCTACATCACTCATACCTTGTGATACAACTATTCATTTCTAAATGTCATCAATTCATATGGTTATGAGTGGAGACTGATTTGGTGAGCAGCGGGACAGAGCAGCTGGCACATGTTGGGTTGTGGGTGCTTAAGTGCCCACTTGAGTGCTGCTCGAACAGAGAAGCCGGTGCCTATGCACCGACTTTGGGCGCATCTGCGCCAATATAAGGGTATGTTTCCTGAGAGCTTGGCGCATAGACGCCAAGTTCGAGGCCTATGCGCCAGGAGCGCCTGGTGTCAGGAATTGTTTCTAATCCCAATTTCGAGTGGCGTAAAGTAGGGTTTGGTGTATCATCATTCGGTGTTCTTTGACGAATATCCCAATGGAGATGAGGAATGTCGAAGAGGTGGGTTTCAATGATTCAGGCGTGATTTTTGCATCGGATCGGAAGGGAAGATTGTGAAACGAGTCCTGTAAATTTATTTTGTATGTAGAGAAAAAACTTGTGTGAATTCTTTGTAAAACTTCTTGAATTTCATAGTGAAACATTTCTAGTGGTGTAGCTCCCGTGGTTTTTTCCCGTTCTTGGGTAATCGTAGGCCTCAATAAAGTTAGGAATTGTTCGTTGTGTGATTCTCATCAACTGACATCAGAGTGGGGTTCGATTCAAGTAGGAGCAATGGTTGAAGAAGCAAGGTTCAAAGTGGAGAAATTCAATGAAACGAACTTCACATTTTGAAAAATGCATGTGTAGGATTTGTTGTATAATATAAAATTATATTCGTCACTACAAGTAATAACAAAGAAGACTGAGTCTATGCCTATGAATGAATGAAAAGTGTTGGACCAAACGACAGTAGGTCTAATTAAGTTGGCACTTGCTTCATCTGTTGCATTCAACATTGTTAATCTGAAAACTATAGTGGATCTCATGAAGACATTAAACAAGATGTACAAAAAACCTTATGATTCCAATAAGATTTTTCTGATGAAGAAATTACTCAACATGAAGATGGTGGAAAACAGTTCAGTGACAAAGCATCTTAATAACTTCAACATTGTGACGAGTCAGTTGTGTTCTGTAAAGATTAAATTTAATGATGAGATCAGAGCACGGGTGATATGATTTTCATTGCCGAAAAGCTGGGATGGTTTGGTAACAACGGTGAGTAATCCTTCAGGGACTTCGAAGTTGAACTTCGATGACATCATGGGCCTAATACTGAATGAAGAAGTTCGCAGAAAGGCGTGAAATGGTAAATTTTTAGGTCCTGCATTGAATGTTGATAACACGGAAAGAAATTTGGACAGGAATACAAACAAAGCCAGACCTAAGTCCAAGAAAAAAAAAAACTCAAGTTAAGCATAGAAGAATGCTAGAACTACGAGAAGAAGAGGTTGCAAGGCTCCAAGGAAAGTTGGTGGTGGAGGATAGAAATGTAGTTACTCTACTAATATCTCCACAGATAAAATCCAAAATGACTCTCTAATGTTATCCCTAGTTAGTACTAAATTCTAAATAGCGAATTCAGGTGCCGCTTTTTATCCTTGATTTATAAAAAAACTACACTCATTGTGATCTAGGGAAGGTTTATTTAGGAGATAATAAGGTTTGCAGTATAGTAGAAAAGGGAGATATTGATATCAAGTTGTCGAATAAAATAGTTTGGAAACTTACAAAAGATAGAAATGTTCCAAGCTTGAAGAGAAATCTAACCTCTGTGAGCTAGCTGGCAAAGTCAGGACTTATGATTACTTTCACAGGTGATTCATGGAAGGTGACCATGGGAGCATTAGTGATGACTTAAGGCAACATTCAAGGCACGCATTATCGGATTAATGAAATAGTTGGTTTCATTGATGTGGTTGGAACCAGGGTAGATACAGGTATGTGGCACCGTAGGCTTGCATATATGAGCGAGAAAGGTATAAAGTCCGTATTTTTGAAAAATAAACTTCAAAGTTTGAAATCAGCTGATCTGGATTTCTAATGAAGACAGTATATATGGCAAGCAGAAGAAGGTTTCTTTCTCCAAATGTGGATTATCGGTGAAATCAAAGAAACCGGAGTTAGTGCATACTAAGATATGAGATCCTAATTCAATGCAATCCATTAGAGGTTCTCGCTATTTTGTCACCTTAATTGATGATGCCATGAGAAAAAAATGGGGTTTATTTCTTAAACAGAAATTTGATCTATTTGAAGTCTTTAAGAAAGACTATGGTAGAAAATGAGATAAACTTGAAGCTAAAGTGTCGCAGATCATATAATAAAGATGAGTATTGTGATTAGAAGTTCATAAATTTCTGTGCTACAGAGGGAGTAAGACGTGAGTTCACTGTCTCAAGGACACCGCAGTAGAATAGTGTGGTTGAGCGCATGAACAATACAATCACAGAGCGTGCTGGGAACATGAAGTTGCATAATGGTTTGCCAAATCAGTTCTGAGTTGGAGTAAACATTGTAGTTTATCTAATTAATCGTAATCCATCAGTAACTTTAGAGGAAGGCTTACTTGAAGAACTTTGGAGTGATAAAAAGATAAATCTATCTCATTTAAGAGTATTTGGGTGCTCTGCATATGTGCATGTTGATGCAGAGTCCAAGAGCATGCTTGACTCAATTTGTCAAGTGCATCTTCATTAACTACGACTCAGATGAGTTTGAGAAGATTACCAGAATAAAAAAATTATTTGAAGCAGGGACGTCGCATTCAATGAAATTGAGATGTACAATGACAAGGTCAGAACTTAAGCAAGTCCGCTAATTACTTCTGAAGAATCCAATATGTTAAGATAGATGTTACTGGTGATTAAGAAAATATAGAAAGAACAAGTAATCAACCAGGAGTACTGGAAGTTCCTCCGTCGCCTACTACATAAGTCAAAAGATCCAGCAAAGTGACATGACCTGTACACAGATATTCTCCTTCTTTACACTATGTTATTAATTGATAATGGTGAACCGGAGTAAAAAATAAGGTCACTCAAGTTGACGATTCAAGGGAGTCAGATCACACATGGCATTTGAAGGTACTACCAAATAGCAA